TTCCCCTTGCCACCACTCTACCCCCAGCCCTTCCCATTCTCTCTGTCCTTTTCCTCTCTTGGGGTCTTTTCTCATGCCTCAGTATATTTAAAGAATCCTTTAAGGGAATGTTGAAAAATGCATCTGACAGCCCCATCACTGTCCTGTTACAGGAACACACACCTGACGAGTTTCTTTATTTTTCTCTCTTCCGTGCAGATGAGATGGTGGAGTCTTATGAGCACTTGGCCCTCAACGTTTTACACTCTTGGAAGGATATCCCAGAGGTTGGATGTAGGCTGGTTCCTGAACACATAGAAACTCGCCCACTGTACCACAAGGATAAGCCAGGAATGGAACAGGTAGTGGCCAAGACGGTTCTGGCCCCAATAGGAGTGTTCATCCCCAAGGAATATGACGTTTCCCCTAAAAGTCAATCTCGTGTGCCCTAGAATAATGGTTCTCAAACAGGGACAATTTTGACACACACACCACCCCATCCTAGGACCTTTAGCAATGCCTGGAAATATTTTTGGTGATCTCAAGTGGGTGGGGGTGCTCCTGGCATCTAGTGGATAGAGGTCAGGATTCTATTAAACATCCGGCACTGCACACACAAAAACAACCTTACAACGAAGAATTATTCAGCCCAAAATATCAGCAATGTCAAGGTTGAGAAACTCTGCCCTAGTTAGCGTCGGACTTACTGCTGTTTCCTTTTTAGGATTTGAGTTGGCAACTCTTGTGGAAGAATCCTGACAATTCAGAAACTTCCCAACTCATCTAATATGCCCAAGGCCTTGTCCAAAGCCTATCAGTAACCACACAGCGCACTAGTTTTCCCAGGGAAGTAGTAGATCGTGGTTTGCTTTGAAGAACTGGCAAGAAGAAGCTGTGTGGAAAATGTAACTAGAAATCCGGGTTAGAAGTTAGAAGGGAAGAGAAGGTAAACGTTAAGAAGAGCCTTCTATGCACTAGGTCCCTTACATAAACTATCTCACATAATTAGGATGATCACAGAATGGTTTATCCAAACTGTGGCCATTTTGGGAGTGGAAAGGGGCGCTATTAATAATTAAGCTGGTACAGGGGGCCCACCCTGGGATTTTCCTAGGCAAACGAGGTTGTGTGGGTCACCTTACTTTTATTCCTTAATACAGTCTCATCATGTACTTAATATGATCCTTTCAAGATAAGAAAATTGAGGTTCACAGAGTTTAAGAATTTGCTCAGTTTCTTAGCTGATAAATAGTAGTAGAGCTGGGATATCACCCAGGCAGTTTGAGTCCCTCATCCTGTCCCACTGGACTCGCTCACTGTGTAACTTGGGCAAAGCACATGAACCTAACTAGAATAGGGCTGGAAGACCCACCTTACTATCCCAGCAGTGTTGGAGTGTAAACCTAGTGATAGCATGTGTCAGGGGGTGCCTTGAAAGGGTAAAACCTTATCAGATGTAAAAGCTTATGATTGTTTCCTGAAGTTTACTACAATGTTTTAAATCACTTAGTTACTGGCATCCTTCCTGTCAGATGTGGCTTTTTGATTTAAGGTGAATGTCGATGTATCTTGAGAGAATAAATCTCACATTTCCCTAGGACTATTAATCCTCCATTGTTTGGTTCTTCTCTTCCCAGATGTTAAAGCTTCTCTTATGTCTCCCCTTCCCCAGAATGTCTCTTCCCCCCCAGCCAAGCCCCTCACCCCCATAACCTAAATGGCCACTCTAGTGGAAGTCCCACTTCCTTCTTATAAAAACCCCCTTGACCCCTTCCCCCAGCCCTTGTTGATCTCTCACCAACTTGCCTGAGCTTATGGAGGACTTAGAATGTACACAACAGATCTGAGCATGAAATCCACCAGACCTTCTCCCCACAGGGCCTCCTAAGTACCTTGCAACAGGGTAAAGTCTGATGTATGGAGTTCAAGGCAATGGAGGGTAGGCCCTATTCTGCCACTCATTAGCTGCAGGATTTCAGATCATTTCCTTGACTTCTCTAAGCCTTAGTTTCTTTATACGTAACACAGAAATGTAGCTGGGTGAGCATTAATGGAGATAATGGATGTTACAGTACATTGGAAACAATGAAGTGTGGTATTTCTGACCGATAGTGTTATCTTTTTCATCTTTAAGAGTCTGTAGGAAGAGTAGAGTCTCTGGCATCAACACACAAGGGTTGAGTCCAGACTCTACCACGCACTGTCTGTGTAAGCATGGGAAAGACGTGTGCTTGTCCGCTAAGCAGGAATAATAACATCTACCCAGTGCAGATATTGGGAGAGTTAATGGGATAATGCTTATCAAGTGCACAGCCCTGTGTCTACATACAGTAGATGCTCAATAAGGGTGTTTTTTCCCTTCTTCTGCTCTTAATATATGCTCTGACTAATTCTTAATTGAAATGTAAATTCTGTCTTTGTCAGCAAATATTCTAAACATGTATAAAGCTACCAAGCTGTATCTAATATCCATTTCTAGTAAAGCGATCTGTTAAAATAATGAATGATCAATTACTCATGGGATATGGCCCTCAAAGCTCAAAGAGGTGTTTATTTCTTAACTAGGGCCGCCTGCAGATGTGGGTGGACATGTTTCCCAAAGATATGCCTCAGCCGGGTCCTCCTGTTGACATTTCACCAAGGAAACCCAAAGGGTAAGTCAGCTGCAGCCCCCCTTCAGGAGGAGAGACCATGGTAGTGGACTAAAAGATCATGACATTTCATCTGGTGTCGAATATGTTACATTGATTAATTGGCACCCGATAATTGTACCTCGCTTTTCACCTGGCCCATTACAGCAGGAGGTGAGTAGTGGTGATGGTAGTAGTGTGGAGATTGGAATGGTGGCCCCTGTTTTATGGTAAGGGTTCCTGAGCTTCAACATTCTGAAAAATGTTGGTTAATGGAAGGAGGATCTGCTCAGAGAAATTCACAGCCTTGGTCATTCCAGGTGGGACACTTGATGTTGATAGAACGAGAACTTGAGTGTTGATATTTTTGAACTTGATAAAGTTGAGGTAGCTATAGACTCAAAGCAATACCAGAATCATACAGACACTGGTTCACTCAGCTTTCAAGGTGTTCAACCTAATGCTGCCTTCCCTTATTCCAGATATGAACTGAGAGTAACCATCTGGAATACTGAAGATGTCATTTTAGAGGATGAGAATTTCTTCACAGGACAAAAATCAAGTGATATTTATGTTAAAGGGTAAGCTCATCAACATATGCAATCCCCCCTTTCCTTCCCCTCCTCACCTCTTTAACCCTTAACCAAACATATGCCTCAGGGAAGATACTCCACCCACATCCCACAAAAAGACTTCCTCTTACCTTGTTACATGAAGTCACTGTCTTTGTCAAATATTTGTCTTATTTGGCCATTTTGTGAAGAATTATTATCTTATGCAAGTGTTTTTGGGAGGAAATCTTATTATATAAACACCTCTTTCAGTTAACTGTTGGATACCTAAACTTTTTGAGTGACATTTAAAATACCTTTATACCTGAAGGAAGTAGAGAGCTGTAGTGTTATTGATGAAAGATTAAGTGTTAAGAAGATTGTAAGACTAATGCAAAAGCTAAAATTTAGACCTTCGCATTGGCTAGTTCTACTCATAAAAAAGATACCAATCTAGGACTCAGGAAACTAGGCATTTTGTATCTCTCTTACATCTTGGCTATGACACAAATGCCTTTGTAGGTTTCCCTTTAGTCCCTACTCAGGGAGAAAGATGAGGAGATGAAGAATGAGAAGTAAAAGTGACATAAATAAACCCTCAGAAAAAAACTCATATCTGCCTCATCTTGGTATCTGTTTGTCTTCCCCAACCAAGAAATATTCCTCATTGACGCTCCCATTTCTAGTATGCCATTAAATCTTGTCCATTTTACCTCCCAAATAGCTATCAGCACTGTCTACTGTCTCCACCTTCACCACACCACCACCATAGCCTTTTCCTCCATCATCTCTTGCTGGAGCCACTGAAATACCAATACCATCTGAACTACTCTCTGCACATTCACTCTTGCTTCCAATAATTGGTTCTCTGTGTTGAAACATGAGTTATCTTTTTAAAATACAATCTGGTCATGTTGGTCCTATACTGAAAACCCTTTAATGGCATCCTACTTTCTCTGGACAAAGATTCAAATTCCTAATATGCCCTAAAATATCCCATATGACTAGCCCCTGACTAGCTCTCCAGTCTCATCTCACTGGATCAAGATTCCCCCTTACTTTCTACTCTCTAGTGCACTGAGCTTCTCTCCCTACTTAGAATGTGTCATCACCTCTTCTTCCACAGGGCCTTTGCACATCTCTCTCTGGTGACTTCTGCTACCCTACCCATGTCCCTCCATCCCCTTCCTCCATGGCAATATCACCATGAAGGCAAGGACCATCTCTGTTTACTCTCCATCACTCCTCTAGCATCCAGCTCACTCCTTCCTTCATAACAAATACCACATATATATTGCTTGAGTGAGCACCATCTTTAGCTAGATAATCACGTCCATACCCCAAGTGGTACCACTTGTCTGGGAAGAGAATGGTCTTTACCCTCCCCTGCTCTGTGGAGGAGGGATGTCTGTTTTCAGAAAACACATGGTTTGGAATTACCAATGAGTTTGTATAAAAGTATCTATCTGCTCAATAATTCATTCACCATGAATTAAGTACTGGGGGAAAATGTTAACTGTAGCTCCCTTTATGCTGGGGATGAAGGAGGAACGTAGATAATACTAAGAAGAAATAACAGTGTAGGTAATTTGGTGCACACAAAACACTTTATAGTTATTATCTCATACCATTCCTCAGAACAGCCCTATGAACTAGGTACTATCATTGCTTCTATTTTCCAGATGAAACAAAGGCACAGAGATAAGTTAAACAAAGATAACTTATCTTTGGCTGCGCAGTTAGTAAGTGGTAGCGTCAAGATAGAAACCCAGGAGGGTGCAGGCAACCCTCATCCCCTCCGTGCCACACTGAGACAGGCCTGCTGGGTTTTAGGCACCCACAGAAGGAAGGGCCAGTTACAGGCCTGATGCGAGGTCTAAAGAGAGCTCCCAGGGTGAGGGAAAACTGATTACGCTTTCACGTCCCATTTCCCAAATTTTCCTTCTTTATTGCTTGCGGCTTCAGGTCTACCCAAGACCAACTGGAGACGCTTCCCCAACCTGGCTTAGGATGAGAATCTTGTTTCGGTTTTAAGCCCTTTGGCCCCTATCTCCCCCTTTCAAATTCAATGGACGCTTGCATCTAAATCTAACTGTATCCTAATCTTAAAACTATGAACCACGACCACATTGAAGCTTGTTCATTCACCCTGGATTCTACTGATGCCTGGATAATGTGCTCTGAAAGCGTTCAACTCTGTTTCAATTTTTCTTCAGGTGGCTAAAGGGTCTGGAAGATGACAAGCAAGAGACAGATGTGCATTACAACTCCCTGACTGGAGAGGGGAACTTCAACTGGCGCTTCCTGTTTCCGTTTCAGTACCTCCCAGCCGAGAAGCAAATGGTCATTACCAAGAGAGAGAACATCTTTTCCTTAGAGAAGATGGAGTGTAAGACGCCAGCTGTGTTGGTGCTCCAGGTTTGGGATTTTGAAAGGCTGTCCTCGGATGACTTTCTGGGTAAGCCAGTGGCTTCATCAAGCTCATATCAATGCCACGGGTTTTGTCCCAGTTTCGGGGGGAGCTTGGTCTGATTTAGCCATGAGGATAATAATTTCATTGCTATTTATGATGGCAAACAATTGGAAGCACTTCAAATAGCCATTGGCAGGGTATTGGCTGAACAAGTCATGGTGCACCCATATGGTGGAGGACACATATTCAAACAGACGTAAAAAATTGACCTTTGCTCTACCACTCAGAAGTTGTTAAATTTTTTGGTTCACTCTGTGCCTCAGTTGTAAAAATGGGGATAGTAGTATTACATATCTCAGAGGATTTGGGGAGATGTAAATGTGATAATACAATTTAAACACTAAGCACAGTGCTTCGTACATAGTAAGCACTCATTAAGTGATAAGCCTGCAGCCATTAAAATATTAGAATATTTAATGAGGTGAATAGTTGCACAAGATGCATTAGGTGGGGAAAAAAGTGTTGGAAAAAAGAAACCCTTTCAGTAACATATATGTTTATATGTGTAGGAGAAAGTGATAGTCAGAGACAGGCAGGAGGAGAGAAAGACCAACATCAGGATAAGAAGTAATGCACATATAGAGCAGCGGTCAACTTTGGGAGGATGGAATGATGGAAATTTTTCCTGTTATTTTCTGCTTACGTTCATGCTCTAAATGTTCACAATTAATAAATGTTCCTTTTGTAATAGGGATAGGCTATTTTTAAAAAGATATATGATGCTCTCATGGTGCTATCTCACACTGCCTTATATTCATTCACTCATTGAAAATACATTGGTGAGAGCCCACTAAAGTCTTGTAGAGTTGCTACAAATACAGTAAGACTTAGTTCCCGACCTGGAGGGGTTTAGCGGACTCAAAGAGAGAGGTGAGGTGCAGGAAAGGGGTTCCCATAGGCTGACCTATACTAAGGCAGGGGAGGGCTCAGAGGACAGGCAGGTGAGCCAGATTACACTCAGGGAGCAGAGAAGGTGCCAGGAGCGATGGCACTGGAAACTGACGCTTGAATGTTACATATTGTGGCTCTGTTCTTGCCTTCTACTTGCTGCCACGTTATTCATGCTTTGAGGGCACCAGACACGTATTGGTCAGATTTGTACCCCTAATACCTGGCACATTCTAGTGATCCAAGGTGGTGCTGATTGAATGACTAGTGAGTGGATGGATGGATGGATGGATGGATGGATGGATGGATAGGTGGGTGGATGGATGGGTGAATGGGTGGGTGGATGGGTGGATGAGGATGTTGATTGATTTTAAAAGCCCTTCCATAACTGTTACTGGCTTCTCTTCACAGGCACCCTGGAAATGAACCTCAACAGTTTCCCCCGAGCAGCCAAGTCTGCCAAAGCCTGTGTTATCTCCAAGTTTGAAAATACAAATGAGGAGAATAAGATCTCCATATTCCAGCAAAAACGTGTACGCGGCTGGTGGCCTTTTGCTAAAAGCAAAGAACTCACAGTAAGTGACAGCTGTGGGAGATTGGGGGGAGGGGCAGGCAGAGGACAATATGCTCTATAAATAAGTCCTATTTGGTGAACTTCAAGTGCAGTGCCTTGCAAAGAATGACACAGAATTCTTTAGGGCAAAGGTTTTGCTGAGAAGTGAGAATTTTGATAACTTTATAAATGCATTAAGCCTTCCGTATTTCAGCATACTTGATTTAATTGCTTTCTATGTCAGGGTGGTTTTCTGTCCTCTTGGCTTGAACTTGTGCCCCTGGCGGTTATTTTTTTCAACACTTCTTAAAATTATGCATTAAGTCCTGACTAATGTACAGTTTTATGTAACTACCTCATCCCTTCACCCTCAAATGTGAGACTCAGTTTAAAAAGTGGTCCATCCTTTTAAAGCTTCCTCGAGAGAGTGATGCAGCGAGAGCCATCTATCCCTTTTCTGCGCTGCCAAATTGGTCCACACTGTGTGGCACATACTGTGGGGATTCAGAGCTTTCACCAATACTGGGAAGAAAGTTTCTCCTGCCTTTCCTTTCAGCCTCCTCTTCGCTGCTCTGTAAGGGAGGAGGGATGACTTAAGGGACAGGTGAACTTGAGAAAAGG